AAACGAGCAGATAAAATAATATCTGTTTATTAGACGCGTTTTGGGTCAGAGCTGCAACATTAACACATTTAAAATTACACTTAGAATGTTCAGAATTTAAAAACAAGACTGAAAATATGTTCTGTTCTGTTCTGAAACGCAGGATTCTTGGATGAGTTTAAAGTCCAGATTTCAGTTTCTCAGATGCAAACGCTCCTGGACACGTTTAAAAAGAGGCTGAATCTTTAAATAAATCCACTTAGATATTTGTTTTTCTTTGTTTTGTTTGGGTTTTTCTGTGTCCGGGCGTTTAGTTTGGGCAAATCTACAGTTTATAAAGGTTTAATCACAACTCTGACTAAAAAGTGAAAATAAAGATCATATTCTGAGTGATTCTGCAGAACCAGATCAGGTAAAAGTCGTTTGTTGTTGTATAAATGTTTGACTGTAAAGACGAGGACGGTGCAGATGTTTGAGCAACTGATGGATTTTCTTGTGTTTGTTTGTTTACGAGGAGAATCTGACAGGTCACATCTGTTATAACTAGAGCCCGACCGATGACCGATATATCGGTTGGCCGATATTATCGGCTGATATGGGCACCTGGGGGCATATCGGCTATCGGCCGATATACTTGCTGATATGGGCCGATATTTCACGTGGGCATGTGATACGTCGTTATAAATCTTAGACTCTCTACATTCTGTTCATTTAATCCAATTTACAGACAGATAAATGTCCTAATATGTGGCTCCACATCAGTATTTATCTACGGAGTCATTTGTCTGTGTGTGTCGTACTGTCCCTGAACACACCACAGAGTCACGTACGTCGTCACTCACGTGTGTTTGTTTACACCTGCAGACTCAGATCCAAACACTGACATTATTTTCTTTTTACGGACAATCGGTTTGAGTCTGGATTAAAAGGACATTTATTAGTGCAGATTTGTGATGTGGGAGGAGCCTGTGTGATGTGGGAGGAGCCTGTGTGATGTGGGAGGAGCCTGTGTGAGCGGTGAGTGTTGGAAATATGTCGACTCTGAAGCTAGTTTTGGTCATTTGTTATGGGTTAGCTGCTGTAGCTCCGCACATAAACACACTGTTTTCTATTGGTCTGTTAAAGTGATTATATTGTTCGTATATTTGCTACTGGACCTGCACTGATATGTAAATGAGCTGTGAACAGACGTGTGAATTATGACATTTGCGTATATAATTAATTACCGCGGCGCGCACGTATTTACGGCTAAAGGCTAATAGCGCTACTTTCTTTACTAGTTATGGGTCCGTCGCGAACGAAATGACTCTTAGAACCGGCTCTTTGAAGCGAACGACGGGAGCCTGATCCTTATTGGGAGCCGTGTTTTCTCTTTCTCTCACTTTTTTTCTCTTCACGCCGCGTGATTCGTGGTTTGACAGCGGCAGCGGCTCAAAACGAAACTTTGAGAAATTTACCTGTACGTAGGATTAAAAAAAATATAAATTAAAAAAAAACGAGCATATTTGACTGTAGTTTAGCATAAAATAAATAAGTCCCGGTTTAGTCCTTTTTCAGTCCTGGTTTAGACCTGGTTCAGTCCTGATTCAGTCCTGCTTTAGACCTGCTTTAGTCCTGCTTGCAACAAAACAATCTGAAGAGCCACTTGGGAGCCAAAAGAACCAGCAGCTTTTAGTGAGCCGAGCCAAAAGAGCCGGTTCTCTAAAAAGAACTGGAATAAACATCACTAGTGTCTAGAATGTGATGCAAAAATGCCATTAGTCCAACTGTCTGTAAATATGATGTAAAGAGGCAGAATAACAATAAATGTTTCCTAAATAAACCCAATTTAAAATCCACCAGAGCCAAACCTAAGTTTTTTAAACAATTCAACATTTACAGTGAATTTTTACATCACTAAATATATCGGCGATTATATCGGCAGCTCCAACTCCCATTATATCGGTTTCATATCGGCCACAGCAAAATCCATATCGGTCGGGCTCTAGTTATAACAGAGTCAAAAGATCAGAAAGATTTATTTAAGAAAACACCTCGTTTATTAACATCTCCTGTGTGGTTCAGTCCTGGTCCAGACCTGGTTTAGTCCTGGTTTAGACCTGGTTTAGTCCTGGTTCAGTCCTGGTTCAGTCCTGGTCCAGACCTGGTTCAGACCTGGTCCAGACCTGGTCCAGTCCTGGTTCAGTCCTGGTTTAGTCCTGTTTTAGTCCTGGTTCAGACCTGGTTCAGACCTGGTCCAGACCTGGTCCAGTCCTGGTTCAGACCTGGTTCAGACCTGGTCCAGACCTGGTCCAGACCTGGTTCCCTGGTTCAGACCTGGTTCCAGACCTGGTCCAGTCCTGGTTCAGTCCTGGTTCAGTCCTGGTTCAGTCCTGTTTCCAGTCCTGGTTCAGACCTGGTTCAGACCTGGTCCAGACCTGGTTCAGTCCTGGTTCCAGACCTGGTTCAGTCCTGGTTCCAGTCCTGGTCCAGACCTGGTCCTGGTTCAGACCTGGTCAGACCTGGTTCCAGGTCCAGACCTGGTCCAGACCTGGTCCAGACCTGGTCCAGACCTGGTCCAGACCTGGTCCAGACCTGGTTCAGACCTGGTCCAGACCTGGTCCAGACCTGGTCCTGTGTTGTGTGTCAGGTTGTGTTCCAGACTGGTTGGACGGGACTCTGGTCAGAAACGGTCCTGGTTTGTTCTCGGTGGGAGAGACTCGGTACAATCACTGGTTCGATGGACTGTCCCTGATCCACAGCTTCACCTTCAAAAACGGTAAAACAACAAAAAACAACAAAACGTCAAAATAGTTGTTTTTAAAAGACAGAACTGAAGCCAGAGTTTGTTCGTGTTCTGGTTTGTCCAGGTGAGGTGAGCTACAGGAGCAAGTTCCTGAAGAGCGACACGTACAAGAGGAACCTGAAGGCCGAGCGCATCGTGGTGTCCGAGTTTGGGACCATGGTTTACCCCGACCCCTGCAAGAACATCTTCTCCAGGTACACACAAGACCTGCTCCAGTCCTGGTCCAGTCCTGGTCCAGTCCTGGTCCAGTCCTGGTCCAGTCCTGGTCCAGTCCTGGTTCAGTCCTGGTCCAGTCCAGTCCTGGTCCAGTCCTGGTCCAGTCCTGGTTCAGTCCTGGTCTAGTCCAGTCCTGGTTGTAGTCCTGGTCTAGTCCTGGTTCAGTCCTGGTCTAAGTCCTGTTAGTCCTCAGTCCTGGTTCTAGTCCTGGTCTAGTCCTGGTTCAGTCCTGGTTCCCTAGTCCTGGTCTAGTCCTGGTCCTGGTTCAGTCCTGGTCCAGTCCTGGTCCTGGTTCAGTCCTGGTCCAGTCCTGGTCCTGGTTTAGTCCTGGTCTAGTCCTGGTCTAGTCCTGGTTCAGTCCTGGTTCAGTCCTAGTCCTGGTCTAGTCCTGGTCCAGTCCTGGTCCTGGTCTAGTCCTGGTCCAGAGTCCTGGTCTAGTCCTGGTTCAGTCCTGGTCCAGTCCTGGTTCTAGTCCTGGTTCAGTCCTGGTCTAGTCCTGGTCTAGTCCTGGTCCCTGGTCCAGTCCTGGTCTAGTCCTGGTCCTGTCCTGTTTAGTAAGTCCTGGTCTAGTCCTGGTTCCAGTCCTGGTTAGTCCTGAGTCCTGGTCCAGTCCTGGTCTAGTCCTGGTCCAGTCCTGGTCCAGTCCTGGTCCAGTCCTGGTCTAGTCCTGGTCCAGTCCTGGTCCAGTCCTGGTCTAGTCCTGGTCTAGTCCTGGTCTAGTCCTGGTCCAGTCCTGGTCTAGTCCTGGTCCTGTCCTGTTTTAGTCCTGGTCTAGTCCTGGTCCAGTCCTGGTCTAGTCCTGGTCCAGTCCTGGTCCAGTCCTGGTTCAGTCCTGGTCCAGTCCTGGTCCAGTCCTGGTCCAGTCCTGGTCCAGTCCTGGTCCAGTCCTGGTCCAGTCCTGGTCTCCAGTCCTGGTCCAGTCCTGGGTCCTTCCAGTCCTGGTCTAGTCCTGAGGTCCAGTCCTGGTCCAGTCCTGGTCCAGTCCTGGTCCTGGTCCTGGGTCCTGGTCCAGTCCTGGTCCAGTCCTGGTCCTGTCCAGTCCTGGTCCTAGTCCTGGTCCAGTCCTGGTCCTGTCCTGGTCCAGTCCTGGTCCTGGTCCAGTGGTCCAGTCCTGGTCTAGTCTGGTCCAGTCTGGTCTAGTCCTGGTCCTGGTCTCCTGGTCTTGTCTGTGCAGGTTCTTCACTCATCTGTCCAACGTGATCCCAGATTTCACGGACAATAACCTGGTGAACATTATTCGATACGGAAAAGACTTTTACGCCGCGTCTGAAATCAACTACATCAACGAGATCGACCCGGTCACCCTGGAGACCGTCGGCCGGGTCGGGACTCCAACACGAACTTTTTTTTCAAACACTTTTATGGCAGGATTTTCATGTGTAAATATATTTCCAGACAAACTACAGGAACCACATCGCCCTGAACCTGGCCACGGCTCATCCGCACTACGACCGCGAGGGGAACACCTACAACATGGGCACCGCCATCATGGGCCTGGGCAAACCCAAATATGTCATCTTCAAAGTGCCGCACGACGCCTCAGGTACGAGAGGAATACTGTAAAGAGCCATGGAACGGATCAGGCAGGAACAAAATACTATGTAAGAGCCATGGAACGGATCAGGCAGGAACAAAATACTGTTAAGAGCCATGGCACGGATCAGGCAGGAACAAAATACTATTAAGAGCCATGGAACGGATCAGGCAGGAACAAAATACTGTAAAGAGCCATGGCACGGATCAGGCAGGAACAAAATACTATTAAGAGCCATGGAACGGATCAGGCAGGAACAAAATACTGTAAAGAGCATGGAACGGATCAGGCAGGAACAAAATACTATTAAGAGCCATGGAACGGATCAGGCAGGCGGAAAGGCAGGAACAAATGCTGTAAGAGCCATGGAACGGATCAGGCAGGAACAAAATAGTTAAGAGCCTGGCAGGATCAGGCAGGAACAAAATACTGTAAAGAGCCATGGAACGGATCAGGCAGGAACAAAATACTAGTAAGAGCCATGGAACGGATCAGGTAGGTCCTAGTCCTGGTTTAGTTCTAGTTTATTGTAGTCCTGGTTTTGCCCTGGTTAATACCCTGGTTTAGTTCTGGTCCGGTCCTGGTTTAGACCGAGTTTAGTTCTGGTTTACTCATGGTTTAGACCTGGTTTAGTCCCCAGTTTAGTCCTGGTTTAGACCTGGTTTAGTCCTGGTTCAGTCTTGGTTTAGTCCTGGTTTTATTCCTGGTTTAGACCTGGTTTAGTCCTGGTTTAGTCCTGTTTTCCTTTAGTCCTGTTCCCTGGTCCTGTTCTGGTCCTGTTAGTCCTGGTTAGTCCTGTTTAGTCCTGGTTTAGTCCTGAGTTCTGTCGTTTAGTTCCTGGTCCCCTTTCTAGTCCTTTCATTGGTTTTCCTGTTCTGGTCCTGTTCTGGTCTGTGTCTGGTCCTGTTTCCTGTTTCTGGTCCTGTTCTGGTCCTGGTTTAGTCCTGTTCTGGTCGTGTTCTGGTCCTGTTCTAGTCCTGTTTCAGTCCTGGTTCAGTCCTATTCTGGTCCTGTTCTGGTCCTGTTTTAGTCCTGTTCTGGTCCTGTTCTGGTCCTGGTTTAGTCCTGTTTTAGTCCTGTTTTAGTCCTGTTTTAGTCCTGTTTTAGTCCTGTTCTGGTCCTGTTCTGGTCCTGTTCTGGTCCTGGTTCAGTCCTGTTCTGGTCCTGTTCTGGTCGTGTTCTGAGGCTCTCTCCTCCGCAGACCCGCAGCGTAAGAAGCCGGCTCTGAGGAAGCTGCAGCAGGTGTGCTCCATCCCGTTCCGGTCTCTGCTCTTCCCGAGTTACTTCCACAGTTTTGGGATGACGGAGAATTACATCGTGTTTGTGGAGCAGCCGTTTAAACTGGACATGGTCAAACTGGCCACGGCGTATTTCAGAGGAGAAAACTGGGGCCAGTGTCTGAAGTACGACCACGACGACACGGTCAGGACACGCTCTGACCCTCTGACCCTCCTCTGACCCTCTGACCCTCCTCTGACCCTCCTCTGACCCTCCTCTGACCCTCTGACCCTCCTCTGACCACACCTCTCTGACCTCCTCTGACCCTCCTCTGACCTCCTCTGTTCTCTGAACCTCTGACCCCTCTCCTCTGACCTCCTCTGACCTGACCCTCTCTCCCTGACCCTCCTCTGACCCTCCTCTGACCCACCTCTGACTCTGACTCTGACCCTCTCTAACCTCTGACCCTCTGACCCTTCCGACCTCTCTCCTCCTCCCCTGACCCTCTGTTCCTCCTCTCCTCCTCTGACCCTCCTCCTCCTCCTCTGACCCTCTGACCCTCTGACCCTCTCCTCCTCTGACCCTCTCTTCTCCTCTGACCCTCCTCTCCTCCTCTGCTCCTCAGACGTTGTTCCACGTGGTGAACCGTCACACGGGGAAGAGCGTCTCGACCCGGTTCTACGGCGCCGCCCTGGTGACGTTCCACCACATCAACGCGTACGAGGAGGAGGAGCACGTGGTGTTGGACCTGGTCTCCTACAAAGACACCAACCTGTACGACATGTTCTACATCGACAACATGACCCAGGACACCGACAAACTCATCGAGGCCAACAAAGGCTTCAGCCCCCCGGTGTGCGACCGCTTCAGCCTGCCCCTCGGCCTCACCCAGGTACTGGACCGGAACCGGACCGGGACTGGACCGGGACCGGGACCGGGACTCGGACTGGAAAACTGGACTAAAACTGGGACTAACCAGGACTAAAAACTGGACTAAAACTGGGACTAAAACTGGACTAAAACTACTAAAACTGGACTAAAACTGGACTAAAATGGACTAAAACAGGACTAAACAGACTGACTAAAAACCAGGACTAAAACAGAACTGAACAGGAAAAAAACTGGACTAAAACTGGACTAAACTGGACTAAAACTGGACTTAACTAAAACAGGACTGAACCAGGACTAAAACTGGACTAAATGGACTAAAACAGGACTAAACCAGGACTAAAACTGGACTAAAACAGGACTAAAACAGGACTGAAACTGGACTAACCAGGACTAAAACTGGACTAAAACTGGAACTAAAACTGGACTTAAAACAGACTGGACTAAAACTGGACTAAAAACTGGACTAAACAGGACTAAAACAGGACTAAAAAAACTGGACTAAAACTGGACTAAAACAGGACTAAAACTGGACTAAAACTGGACTGAACAGGATTAAAACAGGACTGAACCAGATGTGACTAAAAACGTGTGTCTAAAAACTGTGTGGTCCAGATGTGTGTGTTGTGTGTGTGTTGTGTGTGTGTGTGTGTGTGTGTGTGTGTGTGTGTGTGTGTGTGTGTCGTGTGTGTGTCAGGAGTCAGACAGAGGAGTGAATCTGGTGAAGCTCAAAGACACTTCAGCCACAGCCGTGATGCAGGAGGACGGATCTGTGTTCTGTTCACCAGACCACATCTTCCAAGGTACAACAACACACACACACACACACACACACACACACACACACACACACACACACACACACACACACACACACACACACACACACACACACACACACACACACACACACACACACACACACACACACACACACACACACACACACACAACACAACACACACACACACACACACACACACACACACACACACACACACACACACACACACACACACACACACACACACACACACACACACACACACACACACACACACACACACACACACACACACACACACACACACAAACACACACACACACACACACACACACACACACACACACACACACACACACACACACACACACAACACACAACTAACAGAAGTCATGACTGTGAAAAAGAGTTGTGTATTAAAGTTCTCTGAAGGTCTGGGCCTGGATGTTGAATCATGAGTGGAGCAGGACGTCTCTGCTTCTGTTCTGTCACTATTTAAAATAATTAAAACAAAACTAAAAGTTCTGTGGTGTTATTGTCTCTAAATAAGATCGATATTGATAAAAATAGATCAAGACAGATCACCTCTTCTTCTTGTTGAACTTTTCAGGTCTGGAGCTTCCGAGAATAAACTACGACTTCAACGCCAAGAAATACAGATACGTGTACGGATCCAGAGTGGAGTGGTCCCCCCATCCCAACAAGGTACTGGACCAGGACTAAAACTGGACTAAAACAGGACTAAAACAGGACTAAAACAGGTCTGAAACACAGAGGTGGGACTTGCAAATTGTGACTTGGACTCAGTCAAACTCGACTTGGACTTGAAGGTCACTGACTTGGTACTTTGGTTTAAAGACTTGAAATGACTTGACGCTTAACGCAGAAGACTTGGACTTGACTTGGACTTGACTTGGACTTGACTTGGACTTATGAGTCAGTGACTCGAGACGCGACTTGGACCTGTCAGTCTTTGACTCTGGACTTGCAAAACAAAGATTTGGTTCCACCTCTGCTGAACCAGGACTAAACCAGTTCTTAACCAGAACTTCATTAGGACTAAGACAGAACTGAACCAGGACTAAAACAAGATAAAAACTCAATCAGAACTAAAATAAGACTCAGGTGGTGTGAAACATTCTAAAACATGACTAAAGATGGAGCCACAGCAGGTCTAACCCAGGTCTAACCCAGGTCTGATCCAGGTCTAAAATCAGGTCTAAACCAGGTCTAAACCAGGTCTAAATCAGGTCTAACCCAGGTCTAAACCAGGTCTAAATCCAGGTCTGACCCAGGTCTAACCCAGGTCTAAACCAGGTCTAAACCGGGTCTGACCCAGGTCTTGGTCTGTTGCAGATTGCTAAAGTGGACATAGAGACTCGCACTCACCTGGAGTGGTTCCAGGAGAACTGTTACCCGTCTGAACCGGTGTTTGTGCCGTCGCCCGGGGCAACGGAGGAAGACGACGGTGAGACTCTGGAAAAACACTGAAGATTTAACACACACACATTTAACACACACACATTTAACACACACACATTTAACACACACACATATTTAACACACACACACACACACATATTTAACACACACACATCACACACATTTAACACACACACATATTTAACACACACACATTAACACACACACATATTTAACACACACACACACACACACATATTTTAACACACACACACACACATATTTAACACACACATATTTAACACACACACACACACACATTTAACACACACACACACACACTATTTAACACACACACATATTTAACACACACACATAACATTTAACACACACACATATTTAACACACACACACACACACACACATTTTAACACACACACACACACACACACATATTTAACACACACACACACACACATATTTAACACACACATATTTAACACACACACATATTTAACACACACACACACACATATTTAACACACACACACACACACATATTTAACACACACATATTTAACACACACATATTTAACACACACACACACACACATAACACACACATTTAACACACACACACACACACACATATTTAACACACACACATTTAACACACACACACACACATTTATATTTAACACACACATATTCACATATTTAACACACACACATATTTAACACACACATATTTAACACACACACACACACTTAACACACACATTTAACACACACATATTTAACACACACATATTTAACACACACACATATTTAACACACACACATTTAACACACACACACTTAACACACACATATTTAACACACACACACTAACACACATTTAACACACACACACTTAACACACACACACACACATATTTAACACACACACACACACACACACACATATTTAACACACACATATTTAACACACACACATATTTAACACACACACACACATATTTAACACACACACATATTTAACACACACACACACACACACATATTTAACACACACACACACACACATATTTATTTAACACACACTAGTGTTGTTTTAGATATTTTAGAAAGAGCTGGGTTTGATACTCACATTGATAATTAATTCTCTGAGTTCACCTGTCGCTGCTCCGCCCCCTGCAGGTGTGATCCTGTCGTCGGTCGTCTCTCCTGACCCCGCCCTCCCTCCCTTCATGTTGGTCCTGAACGCTCGGACTATGGAGGAACTGGGACGAGCCGAGATCCCGGCCCAGATCCACATGGACCTCCACGGGTACTTCATCCCAGCGTCAGAGACCCACTGAGACCAGGACCAGACCGGGACCAGACCAGGACTAGAGCAGGACCAGACCAGGACCAGACCGAGACCAGACCAGGACTAGAGCAGGACCAGACAGGGACCAGAGCCAGGACCAGAGCAGGACCAGACAGGGACTAGGGCAGGACTAGACCGGGACTAGATCAGGGCTACACCAGAATTCGTGCAGGATTAATTCAGGACTAGACTAGGACTAGATTGGGACTAGAACGAGACTACACTGGGACTAGAGCAGGACTAGACTGTGACAAGACCGGGACTAGAGCTGGATTAAACCAGGACTAGGGCAGGACTAAACCGGGACTAGACTGGGATTTGACTGTGATTACAACAGGATTAAACCAGGATTAGGCCAGGACTAGACCAGGACTAGACCAGCACTAAACTGGCCCTAAACCAAAACTAGACCAGGACTGAACCAGGTAAACCAGGTCTAAACCAGGTAAACCAGGACTAAACTGTGAGACTTTAATTGGGTGGAATCCAGACTCTTATTCATTTGTTGTACATAAATTGATTATGATGTAATAACTTAATTATAAAATGTGAATGTAATTTTTAGATTTGTATTTTCTTTTCTTTGTTTATTTAAAAATAGAAAGTGTATAGAGAGTTATTATAGTATTATAGTATTATATTATAGTTATTGCTTCCAAAAATAACCCGTTTACTACAATTGTTTACACTCCTACGCAGGATTTTGAGTTAGTATTTAATTGTAATATTTATGTTGGTGGTTAATGGTTCATTTTTCAGTTTGGTCAAATAAAAGTCAAATGAGCCAAATAAAATCTCTGTTTATTACTCATTTATTTTAGATGAAAACAGCTCAGCTGTGATTCGTTGCTGCATCCATGTCTGGTTTTGTTTTTTTACCTGAAAGAAAAAGTCAGACTCAGCTCTATGTTCATACTTTTGTTAGAAAAATCATTTGTAAGTTAAAGTAAATTTCAGGACTTTGTTTGTACAGTTTTGGTGATGTTTAGAGCTTTTTCTCATGATAATGCTTCAATTTAGAGTTTTAGGATTAAGATTGATTAAATTTAGAATCTTTTTATGATTCTCTGGCAAGTTCAGAATTCTCTCTCTGTACTTTTTTTTATACAAAACTGCATCACAATTTCACAATTTTATTTATACAAAACCCAGTTTTGTCCCAGTTTTGAAATGTGAAAATCTGGTCACCCTAGTGTGAACATGAGCGGCTTCTCCCCCCAAAAAAAGCAACTTTACACAAACCTTCTCTTAATTTGTGAACAAAATTAGTGAGGCATTTCATGAATTTACAGTGTACGGCTTGAAACATTCATAAATTATCAATATTAAGCGTTTAAACAAATGAGAATACTAGATTATAATGACGTAAAGGAGATTAGCTTTGCTTTTAGCTCTGCCGTTATCTTAGTCCAGTTAAAGTTAAATCTCTTACCTTTTACAACTTAACTTTGTGTATTTATTTATTATCAGTACTCTTCATTAAAAGACAAGAAAAAGGTAGAAAATGTCACTTAAAAAGTCTAAACTGAAATCATTTTGTATTAGCGTCTGTGTCAGTTTGAAGATTGATAAGTGTTTTACAAAATTGAGTTATTTGCTAATTTTTTTAACTCAAATAATATTATAACATTACAACTAATTTGTATTAATTAAAGAAAAATAAATAAATAAATAAAAATAATTACTACTGCGAGTTCTTGTGTTATAAATTCATATCCAATGTCATAAATATTTGTTGTACTTATATTATTGTTTTGTTTTGTTTTTCTAATTACATTCAAGTTTTTTCCATTTATTGCAGCACATTACATCAGATTTTATTACTTTATTTTTACATAACAGCAGTTCTGACTCCGCTCCGGTTGGCGTCCTGTGCTCCCCGCGTGACGCAGATCGGGCAGGGCGTGGAGCTAAAAGCTAAAGCTAACGGGCTGGATTTCCTGTTCTCCCCGTGTGACGCAGATCAGGCAGCGCTCGGGGCGTGTGTGGAGCTGAAGGCTAAAGCTAACGTCGCGTCCGGGGCCACCGCAGCAACATTTCTAAACCCCCACAAATGTTTAACCCGCAGCGGTGATGGATTTCGACGCGTTATTTAGCGAAAAGTCCCTGGAGTTTTCCGATTTCCAGGAATTTACGGTAAGTTTGGTTGAGTTTAGAGGCAGTGCTTAAGTTGAGCTAAGCCGCGCCGAGGCTAATGGCGCTAAAGATCAGCTGAGTTGTTTATTTTTGTCATCAACGTGCTGCCAAAGTGTGAATAAAGTTGATTATTCGTTCCGTCATCATACCCCGATTACACACGGATATTTCATGTTCAGTCCTTCAGTATTTAACCTTTGTGTGTGTATTTGCAGCTGTGGCGTAGCATGAGCAGCTCCTGAAGTGTCAAAACAAAAACAGACTTTAACGCTTCTGTTTTGGGCCCATTTTCAGGAAACTCTCTCTGTTTAAGTGGCCAAGGTTGAGTTAAATATTCCTACAGTTTACATTGAATACACGTGAGGTTAAATAGTTAAATTAGAGGAAATATTGATGTTAGGACACGATGTACCTTTAGTGTATATGAGTCATAAGAACCATGATATGAGTATGAGTCTGCAGGTGATTTATGACTGTTGCGTAACGTAAACATAAACTTTAAAGTTCTTAGAAAGGAACACAGCACCGTGAAGTAGATATAAAGTATTACCATAATTAGATTCATAAATTTATGTTGACTTTTTCAGATAAACTGCCTTGTCACATGGAAATAAATCGTATAATACAAAGCCTATAATTCTGCAGCAAAACAAAAACTGAATGACAAAGCTTTATTCAGGGAAATTCTGGAAAAATCATAAAAATTGAAAATGTCATTTTTCTGGCATAGAAAAATCATCACAATTTTTTGTTAAGTTCTCATTATTCTATTGTGATTATTTGTGAATGTCTAAACCTTTTGTGTAAAAGAGACAACAATAAACGCACTGACAGGATTTAGAATGTTAAAACTATAATCCCAAACCATAAGATGAGTGTAAAGAGTTAATGTTTCATATTTAGCCCTAAAAGTCTGATTAATTCTACACGTCGGTGCCGTAAATTGAAAAATTGAAAAATCACTTTAGCTCATGAAAAATTCATAGAAAAGTTTGGACATTTTGTCAGTGAAAAAGAGTGGGGACCGTGTTTATATTTTCCACAATGGTGCAAAAATAAAGTTCAACAAGAACAGTAGGAGAATAAGAACATGTACAACTATTACAAGTTTTGATAATAGACAGAGTTTTAGTACAAATAAATTGTAAAACATAGAACATCCATAAAATAGAATAATACAAACAGTGATATTATTTAGTTTGTGTTGTGACATGTTTTGTGTTGTGACATGTTGAGTTTTGTGTCCACAGTTCATCCCCGGTCATCAGAAGCTTTCGGAGAGGGTCAGGAAACGCCTTTACTATGGACTGGACAAAGACGTGTCCCTGGACGCGCTCTCCGGACCTGTCACCGGTCTGTTTACAGTCGCAAAATAAAAAAATATGACAGAAACGAAGCTGAACTGCACTGAGGACAGTTAGATATTTGTGTTAAAAGCAGGGAGGGTTTTGGTTATTGAACTGTCAACAGAAAATGATTAATGTTGGTGAGGAGTTACATTTGTTGGGAATGACAATGACAGCAAAAATATAAGATAAATCCAAAATTCTTAACTGCGTAGCTCAAATTATAACAGTAAAAATATTTCCAGCGTTATGCCTCTTGCCAGCCAGAATGGTGCAGTTCTGTTTGATTGGGGCCATAAAATAATTTTAATTTAATTTTAACACATTTTATTTTTTTTTTCAGATATTGCTGTTGAATTCTTCCAAAAATCTGCTCCCAGCCCGATCCGAAAACTCCACAAGAAATACGCCGCCCATGTAGCCAGGTGTGCTCTCGCTTTCCTCTTTCAGACGTCTTTTATTTTGTTTCTGTACACGTTATACACATTATTCTACACATTATTTTGACCCGTGTCGTGGTTTCGTCGTGCAGAGAGGCCTGTATCTCCCCCTGTGCCATGATGCTTGCCCTGGTTTATATCGAACGACTCCGACACAGAAACCCTGAATATTTACAGAAGATCTCCTCGTCCGACCTCTTCCTGATCTCAATGGTACGACTTTAACTTCCTCAGACAGACAGACAGACAGGAGCCAAGAATAATGTACTTTAATCAATTCTACTGCACAGAAATAAACATTATGTTAGATCTAGTTTAGCCCTGGGTTCTATTAAGGGTTTTAGATCTGGTTTAGTCCTACTTTAGACCTGGTTTAGTTATGATTTAGTGGTGTCATTTAAAAAAAAAATCTATAATATTTAAAGATTGTTGTTAGTCACCAAGTTCTTAAAAAGATTTGGGGGTTTTGGTCCTGGTTTAGTACTCAGTTATGTCCTGGTTGAGTCCTGGTTGAGTTTTTTGTGGCTTGGTCTTGGTCCAGATCTGGTTTAGTTAGTTTAGTCCTGATTTAGACCGGTGTTTAGAGTTCCTAGTCCTAGTTTTGTGCCTGGTTCTTAGTCCCTGGTTCTTAGTCCCTGGTTCTTAGTCCCGGTTCTTAGTCCCCGGTTCTTAGTCCCCGGTTCTTAGTCCCCGGTTCTTAGTCCCCGGTTCTTAGTCCCCGGTTCTTAGTCCCCGGTTCTTAGTCCCCGGTTCTTAGTCCCCGGTTCTTAGTCCCCGGTTCTTAGTCCTGGTTCTTAGTCCTGGTTCTTAGTCCTGGTTCTTAGTCCTGGTTCTTAGTCCTGGTTAGTCTTTCTTAGTCCTGGTTCTTAGTCCTGGTCCAGTGAGTGAAGTCCGGTTGTGCGTCCCGTTTCAGATGGTTGCCAGTAAGTACCTGTACGACGAAGGCGAGGAGGAGGAGGTGTTTAACGACGAGTGGGGCACGGCGGGAAAGATGGACGTTCAGACGATCAACAGCCTGGAGCTCGGCTTCCTCAGCGCCATCGTGAGTCCGCCGCGAGCCCGCCACGCTCGGCCTGTAGGGGGCGCCGTTCTGTTCTCACTCACTCACTGCTCTTCTGTTTCAGGACTGGAGTTTGTTCACGGAGCCCAGAGACTTTTTTGACATCCTCAGTCAACTGGAGACAAAGTACGAACACCTCACGAGTTTACACTTACGGCTAGACCGGGGTTTAGTCCTGGGTTTAGTCCTGGGTTTAGACCTTCCTTTAGTCCTGTTGTAGTTTTAGTTGAGTGCTAGTTCAGTCTTAAGATAGACCTGTCTTAGTGTAGGTCTGGGTTGGACCTGGGTTGGACCTGGGTTGGACCTGGGTTGGACCTGGGTTAGTCCTTTCTTAAATCCTGTTTTAGTTAATTCCTAGTTTAGTCTTGTGATGAATCTGTCTTAGTTTAGGTCTGGGTTAGACTGGTTTAGTCCTGGTTTAGTCTTGGTTAATTCCTAGTCCAGTCTTGGTTTAGACCTGGTTCAGGTTTGTTTTATTTGTTTTTCATTCAGTCCATGTTTAAAATCTGACTCTTCTTCTGTGGTGTGTTTTTAAATTCCTGGTGTTAAATGTTGTTGTTTGTTTTTTGTTCAGTCTTGCGCAGCGTCAGGGTCTGAGGAGAGGCTGGTTCACGTACACAGACCTCTGTGTTCTTCTGGAACAATCCTCATGGAACCAGGCTCTGATCTCCATGTACCAGCACTTTACCAAGGCAAGTCTGAGCTCTGTCTGTGTATCTGCACCTTTATCTGTCTCAGACTTACACTTCAACAGACTTTATTGATCCAGACGGGACATGACTTGGACACAGCAGCTCAAACGTCACATTTTATTACAATAACAAAGAGGAAAAAAGTCGTCATTACAGGCGAGTTTCATTGTTGACAAAAGCGCGTGTTGCATGATGGGAATTATTTTGGTCGGCGGCAAGAAACACTAATTGAACATGACGGACGGAGCGAGAAAACAGGTAAAGGGTATTGATCCCGGTTATTTCTCCACTCTAACAGCAGACGACCCAAGACCATTTGACCACAAATTGGTCATAAACATCGACGGACGACAAATCTCCCTTTTCAACCCCGACAGAGTCTGGACCAAACCAAACTTCTGGTCAGAATCTCCAACTCCTGGACAAATATTCACTTGGGCGACATCCACAATGACTTGGTGAAACTCCTGGGCCATTCACAGCAGAAAAGATGAAAACCTCCAAGAGTCTGGATGTGTTGTTGAACTTGTTGAGTCCACGGTTTGTTAGGATCTTCTACGTTTGCTCTGCGGACGTTTGAAAGTCGTTTAATTCACCGTTAGTGGTTCTTTTCACTCAGAATATGAAAAAGACATTTTCCTTCTTCTGTGTTTCTATTTGTGCGTCTGATGATGCAGCAGGAATTTACCAATATCAGGAGAAATACAGGAGGTTACACACTGTGTTTGACACGACCGTGTTTCTGCCTCCGACCAGAATATTTCCGAGCAGCAACGCAGACTTTTAATAACAATGACGTCAGCTCAAACTCGACTATAGTACAGTCCTGTGTAGTTTAGTGTTTGTACTTGATCATAAATATATAGATTAAAAACACTGAACACAAAACAAAAGCCTGTGTTTGTCAGATGTGTTTCTGTGAGGGACTCGTCCTGACGGAGCAGGAGTCTCCAGTCTGTGTCTCTCCACACAAACAACTCACCAACAGGTTTCTGAATTAGACGTACGTGTTCTGAACAAGTCAACTCTGACTCATTAAACTCCTTTACCACTTTACATGAATCATTTTGATCCCGAACACTGTGCACTGATAAACAGGTCATAGTTTGTTTTATAGGCGTCTAACTGTTCCACAGCTTTTATATTTACTCAGTTTCTTATGACGAGTGTCTGTGGTGTTGGTTTTGTTCAGGATCAAGGAGAGAAAAGGTTGAGACTCGTGTGATTGTGTGTGAGTGTCTCCCTCTGGTGGAGACTTGTAACTTTAAAAATGATCTAAAGGGTTTTTAGAATAACACACACAACTCCTGCTGCTGCTGTAGACGTGTTGCTCTGTTTTTATAATATAGAATATATAATTTATATTAATAACTAATAGTAATTGATCAAATTGATCGATAAAATTATTTCATTTTATTGTCGTTTCACTTCTCTGGATGTTTTATGTCCAGTCAGCAAAATGTCTGAATCCTTTGTTGTGATTGGTTCATCTGGTTGAGTTTTCACCTCAAGCAAACATGACGTTTAGACCTGGTTTAGTCCTGGTTTAGTCCTGGTTTAGTTCTGGTTTAGTTCTACTTTAGTCCTGGTTCAGTTCTACTTAAGTCCTGGTCCAGTCCCGGTCCAGTCCCGGTCCAGTCCCGGTCTAGTCCCGGTCTAGTCCCGGTCTAGTCCCGGTCCAGTCCCGGTCCAGTCCCGGTCCAGTCCCGGTCCAGTCCCGGTCCAGTCCCGGTCTAACCCTGTGTCTCTCCCTCAGGTCTCGTGTCTGCTCGGACTCGTCTACCTCACCGCCGTGGCCGGACTCTTCGCCTCGGCCGCCGTTCTGCACACGCTCAGTCTGCACCGCGACCTCTCTGTCCTCCGCCCGCTCGCCCCGCTAAGCCCCGCCCACGGCCCCGCCCACGGCCCCGCGGCGGTCCCCGCGGCGCCGCCCCCTCCCGGTCACCACCCCTGCTGCGTCCTGGCCAACAGAACCCCGCCCCTGAGCCCGCCGCAGACTCCGCCCCCTGAGCCCTCCCCCCTGCTGTGCCTGTGGGGGTCGCTCCTCGCCTCCCTGGGACACTTCCACCCCGGGCCGGACTCGTCTTGGTCTTACATGTGCCCCGGGTGCCTGGCCCGGTCCCAGAGGCTCCAGTGCCAGGGCCTCAAGAACTCGTCCGTGTCCGACCCGGGACGCGCCAAATATCCCCAGAAAAGTTTGGCCGCGACGGTTTTAAAGACGGTCGAGACGCCGTTTCCACAGATCAAGTTCGGCTGCTGCCACCCAGACGCCATTTTGAATAAAGCGCTGCTCGTCCCCGGGTAAAACCGACCAATCAGAGCTGGAGTTTAGGACCTGGACAAGACCTGGTTTAGTCCTGGTTTAGTCCTGGTTTAGTCCTGGTTTAGTCCTGGTTTAGTCCTGGTTTAGACCTGGTTTAGTCCTGGTTTAGATTTGGTTTAGTCCTGGTTTAGTCCTGATTTAGTCCTGGTTCAGACCTCAGTTTAGACCTCGGTTCAGACCTGAGTTTAGACTTGGTTTAGACTTGGTTCAGACCTCGGTTCAGTCCTGGTGTAGTCCTGGTGTAGTCCTGGTTTAGACCTGGTTTAGACCTGGTTTAGACCTGGTGTAGACCTGGTGTAGACCTGGTGTAGACCTGGTGTAGACCTGGTTTAGTCCTGGTTTAGACCTGGTTTAGTCCTGGTTTAGACCTGGTTTAGACCTGGTTTAGACCTGGTTTAGTCCTGGTTTAGACCTGGTTTAGTCCTGGTTTAGACCAGGTTCACATAAATAATCCTGTGGTGTTTTCAAGCGCTTCTAGAAAGTTCAGGCGTAAATTTAATCTTAAATAAACATTTTTGAGTTTGGGGAAAACCTGAGCTGGAGCTTTTTTCAAACTCCATCAGTATTTTTTATTTTTCTGACCCAGTTTTTCCTCTTTTTGTTTTGGATTGAGCAGAATCAGATTAAATTTGATCTACAAAACTAAACAGAACCTTTTTATTTTGTCAGTTCTTGTCTGAATCTCGACTTAAAACTTCTGCTGAGCTCAGACCCTCGATTAAACCTGCTCAAGATACTTAAACTCAAACTCAGATTTACAAGTCTGACGTTTTTAATCTGTCAAATATTAGTGATTATTTCAATTGGAGTTGAAGTGTTTGTGTCCAGGTTCAACTCCAGCTCAGAGACACGGACTGTTCTAGAACGGCGCTCGTCTGTGTTCCTTTGTTTTGTCGTTGTTCAAAGTCGAGTGGGAAACACCTCGTCTTTATTCACTCTAAACTGTGTCCCAACATTTAATTCTGAAGCTTTAATAAATTGTTTAGAATTATTCATTTGCTTCACAAACTTTGAGGATTCAACAAATTTGGGGAAAAAAAATCTAAATTATGAAAACGGCGAGTCAGTCAACTTTAACTATTTACACTTAGATCTGAAGACCCGGTTTAGTCCTGGTTTAGTCCTGGTTTAGTCGTTTAGTCCTGGTTTAGTCCTGGTTTAGACCTGGTTTAGTCCTGGTTTAGACCTGGTTTAGTCCTGGTTTAGTCCTGGTTTAGACCTGGTTTAGACCTGGTTTAGTCCTGGTTTAGACCTGGTTTAGACCTGGTTTAGACCTGGTTTAGACCTGGTTAGTCCTGGTTTAGTCCTGGTTTAGTCCTGGTTTAGTCCTGGTTTAGTCCTGGTTTAGTCCTGGTTTAGTCCTGGTTTAGACCTGGTTTAGACCTGGTTTAGACCTGGTTTAGACCTGGTTTAGTCCTGGTTTAGTCCTGGTTTAGACCTGGTTTAGACCTTCTTTTTGCACATTTTGTTTTGTTTTTCTCACCTTCGTCTTTCACTGGTTTTATTTTGGAGTTTGAGGCTTTTATTTTGAAGGTAAAGGGAAGTTACTTAAACAATAGTTTACATTTAGACTTTGGGTTTATAAAATTACCTCAGTGAATCTCTTAAACGTGGAAAAGTCGAGTTTCCTCTCGGTTTTTGTGGTGGTTGGTTTTAAATTGCTCAGACTTATTTTGAAAAGCTAAATGAAGGGTTTTATTTTGAAAAGCTGTTGCTGTGGCACTTGTTTGCCCGTTTCCTGTCACCTGTGTGGTCTTTTATTTTGAAAGAGTTTGTAAAATGCAGAGATTTTTGGTTCGATTTGGGAAAAGTTTAAAAGTTTTGACCCAAAAGCACAACTTCCTGTTTGTGTAAAAACTTTGTACAAATGTAGAAAATCTGCATTAATAAAATAATCCACATTTTGAGGCAATTTGTCTGAATCATTTCACAAACCTACACCCCGCTTTAGTCCTGGTTTAGTCCTGGTTTAGTTCTGTCTCCTCCCTCTGAACTTTAGTTCAAGTTGTTGTCCAAAAATAGGACAGGATTCTACACGTCTCTGTGGCTCAAGTCCCACTCTAGTCCTGGTCTAAACCCTGGTCTAGTCCTGGTTTTAGTCCTGATCTGGTCCTGGTCCTAGTCCTGGTCCTGGTCCTGGCCTGGTCCTGGACATGCCCCTCTCGGACCTCGGGATGATCCGTGGACCTCGTTGGGTTCTGTCAGGTTTGTCGAGTTGTTTGGAGTTTATTTTTAGAACAACTGTTGATGTGGAGCCACCGGAAGAAAACAAACTCAGACCTGGTTTAGTCCTGGGTTAGTCTTGGTTTAGACCTAGTTTAGACCTAGTTTAGACCTAGTTTAGACCTGGTTTAGTCCTGGGTTAGTCCTGGTTTAGACCTAGTTTTAGACCTAGTTTAGTTTAGACCTGGTTTAGTCCTGGGTTAGCCTGGTTTAGACCTAGTTTAGACCTAGTTTAGACCTAGTTTAGACCTGTTTAGTCCTGGGTTAGTCCTGGTTTAGAGTTTAGACCTAGTTTAGACCTAGTTTAGACCTGTTTAGTCCTGGTTTAGTCCTGGTTTAGACCTAGTTTAGACCTGGTTTAGTCCTGGGTTAGTCCTGGTTTAGACCTAGTTTAGACCTAGTTTAGACCTGGTTTAGTCCTGGTTTAGTCCTGGTTTAGTTCTAGTTTAGACCTGGTTTAGTCCTGGTTTAGACCTGGTTTAGCCTTGGTTTAGTTTTGGTTTAGTCCTGGTTTAGTCCTGGTTTAGACCTGGTTTAGCCTTGGTTTAGTTTTGGTTTAGTCCTGGTTTAGACCTGGTTTAGTCCTGGTTTATGACAGTTTAAGTTGAATATATTTACTGAAGTTCCATCCTGGGCTGTGTGTGTTGTTGTGTTGTTGTGTCATTGAGCAGGACACGTGTGTTTAGGATTTAAACGTGTTAAATATAATCTATATATTATTATAAAATCAATCAAACTGAATGGTGAGATCCTCTGAAGAGTCTGGTCTCTGGTCTTTGGTCTTTGGTCTCTGGTCTCTGGTCTCTGCTGCAGGTCCAGACTCTGGACTCTTCATGGACTTTATGAAGAGTCACAGCTGCTACGAGACCATCCCCACCAGCAGCAAAGTCCTCCTGCTGGACACCAAACTCAAGGTCTGGACCAGGACCAGGACCAGGACCAGGACCAGGACCAAGGACTAAACAGGACTGATCCAGGACTAAACCAGGACTAAACCAGGACTAAACCAGGACTAAACCAGGACTAAACCAGGACTAAACCAGGGACTAAAACAGGACTAAACCAGGACTAAACCAGGACTAAACCAGGACTAAACCAGGACTGAACCAGGACTAAACCAGGACTAAACCAGGACTAAACCAGGGACTAAAACAGGACTAAACAGGACTGAACCAGGACTAAACCAGGACTGAACCAGGACTAAACCAGGACTGAACCAGGACTAAACCAGGGACTAAACCAGGACTGAACCAGGTCTAAACCAGGACTGAACCAGGACTAAACCAGGGACTAAACCAGGACTAAACCAGGACTGAACCAGGACTAAACCAGGACTAAACCAGGACTAAACCAGGACTAAACCAGGACTGAACCAGGACTAAACCAGGACTGAACCAGGACTGCAGCGGGTCTAAAGCAGGTGTGTTTCCAGGTGAAAGCGGCGTTCGTGGCTCTGGTGTGTAACGGGCTCAGAGCTGCTCCTCTGTGGGACAGCAGGAGGCAGCACTTTGTGGGTCAGAAGATTTGATTTATTTAAAAACACATTTGGAATCATTTATTTCAAAAACAAAAAAAACAGATTTAAACTTTTCTTCTTCTTCTTCTTCTTTTTCTTCTCTTGGTGTTTTCAGGGATGTTGACGATCACAGACTTTATCAACGTCCTGCACTGTTTCTACAAGTCCCCCCGGGTCTGTGTGTGTGTGTGTGTGTGTGTGTGTGTGTGTGTGTGTGTGTGTGTGTGTGTGTGTGTGTGTGTGTGTGTGTGTGTGTGTGTGTGTGTGTGTGTGTAGTTTTATTGATGTGTTTGTTGTTTCAGTTGTGTGAGTTGGAGCGTCATCGCATCGACACGTGGAGAGGTCTGGCCTTTCAAAGTAAAAGCACAACACCTGAATACTACTACTACATGTACTACACATACAACTACTACTACTGTTACTACTGTTACTACTGTTACTACTGTTACTACTGTTACTCCTCTTGCGTGTACTTCTGATACTGTGATACTGAAGTTTGTTCTTTTTTGTTCTAGAAGTTTATCTGAAGAATTCTCATCATCGTCTCATCAGCGTCTCTGCAAACTCCAGGTGAAACGAACTCACTCTGTTTTAAAGCTGCACTCTGGAACTTTCCCAAAGAATGCCTCTCACTGACCCTCTCCTCTGATTGGCCCTTCTCTCCTCTCCTCTGATTGGCTGTTCTGTCTCTTCCTCTCCTCTGATTGGCTGTTCTCTCTCTTCTTCTCCTCTGATTGGTCGTCAGTCTGTTTGAGGCGGTCTTTTTGTTGCTCCGGTTTAAGATCCATCGTCTTCCCGTCGTGGATCCGGAGTCTGGAAACGTTCTCCACATCCTCACCCACAAACGCCTCCTCAAGTTCCTCCACCTGCACGTGAGTCCAAGTCCTGGTTCAGTCCTGGTTTAATCCTGGTTCAGTCCTGTTGTAGACCTGGTCTAGTTCCGGTCTAGTCCCGGTCTAGTCCTGGTCTCTCTCAGTTACAGACCCTCCCCAGACCCGGGTTCTTGGACCGGTCGGTCTTGGACTTGGGGATTGGGACTTTTTCAGACTTGGCCGTGATCCGGGACTCGGACCGTCTGATCTCGGCTCTGACTCTGTTTGTCCAACGACGAGTCTCAGCTCTGCCTGTGGTCGACCAGCAAGGTACAAGTACTACAAGTACTACAAGTACTACTACAAGTACTACTACAAGTACTACCAGTACTACTACAAGTACTACTACAAGTACTACAAGTACTACCACTACATACTACAAGTACTACTACAAGTACTACAAGTACTACTACTACAAGTACTACTACAAGTACTACAAGTACTACTACAAGTACTACTACAAGTACTACAAGTACTACTACAAGTACTACTACAAGTACTACAAGTACTACAAGTACTACTACAAGTACTACAAGTACTACAAGTACACTACTACTACTACTACTACTACTACTACTACTACTACTACTACTACTACTACAAATACAACTACAAGTACTACTACAAGTACTACAAGTACTACTACAAGTACTACTACAAGTACTACAAGTACTACTACTGCAAGTACTACAAGTACTACACAAGTACTACTACTACAACTACAAGTACTACTACAAGTACTACTACAAGTACTACAAGTACTACTACTGCAAGTACTACAAGTACTACAAGTACTACTACAAGTACTACTACTACTGCAAGTACTACAAATACTACTACAAGTACTACAAGTACTACAAGTACTACTACAAGTACTACAAGTGCTACAAATACTACAAATACTACTACTATTACTACTACTACTACTACTACTACTACTACTACAAATACTACAAATACTACTACTACTACAAGTACTACAAGTACTACTACTGCAAGTACTACTACTACTACTACTACAAATACTACTACTACTACAAGTACTACTACTACAAGTACTACAAATACTACTACTACTACTACTACTACTACTACTACTACTACTACTACTACTACTGATACTACTGATACCACTGATATTACTACTACTACTTTTACTTCTTTGAGTACTTGTCTCTTTCAGGTCGGGTGGTCGGGTTGTACTCCAGGTTCGACGTCATTGTGAGTATTTAAAGCTGCACTCTGTCACTTTAGTGTCTTGTTTCCATGGAGACGTTGGTGCGTTTGTCCAGAGGAGAAGTGCCTGACCAATCACAGAGCAGCAAAGAGGTGTGGGCGGAGCCAGAGGCAACGCGCCCAAAACACCAAAACAAACAAAGAAAAACTGAACCAGGAACGTGACAGGAGCAGACAGGAGCAGGCAGGAGCAGACAGGGGCAGACAGGAGCAGGGGCAGACAGGAGCAGGCAGACAGAGCAGACAGGAGCAGCAGAGGAGCAGGGAGCAGGGGCAGACAGGAGCAGGAGCAGACAGACAGGAGCAGACAGGAGCAGGAGAGCAGGAGCAGACAGGAGCAGGAGCAGGATGTTGTAGATATGTGTAGATGTTTGTAGACGTTTGTAGACGTTTGTAAATGTTTGCAGATGTTTGTAGATGTTTGTAGATGTTTGTAGATGTTTGTAGACGTTTGTAGATGTTTGTAGATGTTTGTAGATGTTTGTAGATGTTTGTAGATGTTGTAGATGTTTGTAGACGTTTGTAGATGTTTGTAGATGTTTGTAGATGTTTGTAGATGTTTGTAGATGTTTGTAGACGTTTGTAGATGTTTGTAGATGTTTGTAGATGTTTGTAGATGTTTGTAGATGTTTGTAGATGTTTGTAGATGTTTGTAG